CTGGGATGTCCGCGGCCCTTAATCAGCGCACCCGCCGTCAAACTGTACCGGGTATTCGGGATGAAAACGGGGAGGGAAGAATAATGAAAATAAAGCCCTGTCGAGCCAAAGTGCCGCGCGACACCTTTGATGTAATAGTCATATGATTAACAAACTGTCATATCAAAGTTTTCTGCAAAGTAGGAACGTTCTGACACGTCATATTTTTAAAGCTGACATTTTGATTCATTACCGTAAATAGCACGTTGGATTCAATATTGTGACAAGGAGCGGAGCGGATCGTTTTGAGCTCTGTAACATTTCGGAATCGCCGGATTTCTCTCTTTTCCATGCGAGACAGTCGAAACAAGGCGCGAAGGAGGTTTCTCCAGAACAGGACCGTTATTTCTCAAAATAGCCCCTTTCTTTTCGAGCCCTGTTCAGAACAGCAGTGCAGACAGCTCTGAAGGCATCGCTCCCAAATAAAACAAGGAATGGTCTCAAGGACCTTTGCAACTATAAGGTGGTGGTTAAAGGGAACCATGCAAAAACGAATGTCTGACGAGTTGTCAGAAACCTGGAGGCCACGGAGAAGGATTTGGACTGGGAAAGCGAGGATCTAGGCCTAGGAAGAGTCACTTCAATTCCTGTCTCTGCCAGGAATGAGACTCCAATGAGTCCCTTAATCTCAGAGGACCTCAGTTCTTCCCTGTTTAACAGTGAGAGCAATAATGCTGGCTTGCTCCCCTCTGCAGGGCAGGAGCCACCTCCGGCTCCGGGCGTGTACAGCACCGGGCGCACTGGGTTTCAGCTCCAGCAGCTGCTGCAATGCAGACACAGGCAATGCCCAGGGACCCGCTCATACAGCAGGGACCAGATCCTCTTGAGAAACGTGTGCAATCCCCTTTCAAGCCAACATGCAGAAGAGCCGAGGACGCAGGCTATGCTCCATGAGGATTTCCCACCATTCGGGGCATCGGCACCCTTGCGCCGCCCAACAGTCAAGTCCACTTAATACCCTCGAGTATATATGTCCTTCACCCTCTGTCTATTCTGGTGCCCTGCTTTGCTCTTCAAGGAGGAGGCACGTAGAACCACGCCCAGCATCCATACAAATGCATCGCGTCTCCCCCAAACCAATGCACTTTTTTGGCTAGTTTGGTTTGCCCGTCATGATAAAGCAGCACAGAATCAGTGGCTGGGC